TTTCTTTGATATAATTTCGAAATAGGAGCATTATTTTTTTTAGTGGTACGTTTTGCTTTTCAATAAACAAAGCAGCTCTTGTCAATGGAGTTAGTTAATTGTAGAGTATTATGGATAGGTTTTTGTGAAATACACTCGTATGGAACATCATGTTATTATATAAACAGAGTGTTCTGTGAAGATAATGAAAAAATATTATTACAGAATGACGCGCAACACATTGATCAACTGATATAGTGGTTAAGATTAAATGACAAGAATTTTTCTCGAGGAGAAAGCATCAGGTCATTGTGTCTCACCAATTTCACCTCGTATATTCCACACTGAGCGACATTAAACTGATGAACAAGAAGTCATTGTTGATGGATAGCACAAATTTATGAAGCTCCGCAGTTTTCGTGAATACAAATTCCATCAACTTTGGTGTATCAAAATGAAGAAAACCGAATATGTGTACTTATAGTCGGAAAAATATTCAATGTGCAGGAATGCAAGCGAATTCCTTGATTTTTTTCTTCTGGTCGTTATCTTTCTTCCCTATGATTTCAATATCATTCCACTCATATACCGGGTGGCTACGGAAGTATTGCCTACGAAATATCTCAGTTATTGTATGAAGTAGGTTTGGGAAATTTGGAGCGTCGATATATAATAACATGTCGAAGTTAACTTCCGGTCTGACCGGAAGTAACATCAACTTTCTTATTTTAAATGGAAACTCTATTTTTTTTTCTTTTCGCTTCATTCAGCATTCAATTCCCTTTCTAATGACATATCACAAGTTGGTATCCAACCAGAAACTAGATCAGAAAAAAATTATTATTGAAATTCACCGAGTAGGCCGTGGAAGCAAAATGAAAGCCAAAAATTTGCCCTAAATTTAGATTTTTTGACCACCTTGTATCAATTTCAATTGAACACCAATTGATAGTGAGTGAAAAGTTGAGATAGAAACATGTAAACCGTTTTGACGAATAATGAACAGTTTCGACAGAAAAAAATCCTGAACTTGGAAAATCTTGATTTTGCACACCCTATATGTCAGTAACTTTCACTGCTAGACCCTAAGTATGATACGTCGTTGAAATCAAATCTTCAAGGAGAATTCAAAATGAAATAAAATATAGGGTGTTCAGATGAAAAAAACATAGCTTTGATGTGCTGTGACCTTACGGAACACCCTGTGTATTTCAAAGAAATTTTGAAATGTGATGCTCGGTTATTACTTCAATTTTGATTCTTGAATTTTTTTTGTATCTCTCAAGACAACAGAGAAATCGAACTCTGCAGTCTTAGTTGGCCACCCTGTACAAACGGTTATTTTCAATGAAAAAAACATATTGATAATATCAATGTGTTTATCAAAATGGTGATGATAAATTTTCTTTATCTATTATTAATAAAGTTTTATTTACAGTTGATAAATCCATAGTAATAAGACATAATATATTTAATGGAGATGAATTTGAATTAACTATTAATGAGGAATATTTAAATTATTTGAATGCATTATTTGGTTCTAATAAATAAACGGATTTATTAGATTTTAATTAATTTCGTTAACTGTTTTTTCAGTGTATTCCAATATCAGTATGCCACTGAGAAGTGTCAAACTATCAGAACAACATTTCCGTAAAAAATATTTTGCATTTTTATGTTGAGAACGTGAGCAGATTCGTTCTTGAAACGTCCGAAGATAAGTAAAAATTTGATATTTCTTCAATATATCTATATTTTGTCTCTTCAAACTTTTTTCCATTCAAAGTGTCACTGATAAGCTATTGGATTTTTTTTCAAGCTCCCTGATTAAAAAGTTTGATAATCGCAGTGACAGTTTGGGGCAAATCATCTGATTTGTCCTACTACACATATACAATGAAATAATACTCATATTTTCATTTTGTTCAAACAGGGAGAGGAAATGTCAAATGATCGAGTGAAATTAACAAATAATGTTAACAACAATTTCAAGAAATGTGGGATGTCTCATTATGCTTGACATTCAGCGATTGAATGATCAATTCTTTCACACGTGATCAACGAAACAGTTATTTATGACGAAAATTCTGAATATGTGAGGCAAGGTCTGATGTTCCATAGGCATCGCTGTTACCTTTGAAAGGATTTATTCCTATGTCTCGTAAGTTGGTTATTTTATACAGGGTGAGTCATGAGGAACTGTACATGCTCCTACTACGAATAGAGGCAGCTGAGGGGAATAACAAATGACCATCAGAAAGTGTCTCCGCCTCTTCTAAAATGATCTATAGGGTGATTTATGGGATATGACCAAAACTTCTGTCAATCATAACTTTCCAACAGTTCTTTCGATTCCTTTCATTTTTTCTTGGATTATTATGCTGTCACTCAGCAATCAACTGACGTATTCAGAATCGTGAAAATCCAGGACCGGTCTTGAGAAATTCTGCCAATTTGGTTCATATAAAAAATTTCACTCTGTATGAGGTTTTAGTAAACTGTGATATGCAATTTCCAAAGTTGATGAACAGGCAACCAAAATGAAGTATTTCAAATTTTCCTCACAATTTAATTGAATTTCTCAGAAAATGATTAATTTAAACAACACACGAAACTTGGGCAACAAATATCTTAATTTCAAAATTAATACTTCGCAATGCATGAATTTCACGAATAAAAGTAAGGGTAAAATTATTCCTGATTCTTGTTTGTCAACTCCGAACATTCCATGTCACAGTTTATTAAAATCATATAAAGGGTGCAATTTTTGGTGATTATTACCATGTACCAAAAATTTACTGAATCCAACCCTGGATATAGATGAATGTTGATTTTCAGTGAACTGAAGAATAGGAAATGATGTTATTCTTGCTTCTATTCGTGAAATTCTAGCGGTGCGAAGTATTCATTTTCAAATTAATACATTTGTTGCGAAAGTTTCACGTGTAGTGAAAATTGATCGTACCTACTCTAAGAAATTCTGTGAAACTCTGAGGAAAATTTGAAATACTTAATTTTGGTTGCCAGTTCATCAACTTTGACAATTCCATATCACAGGTTACTAAAACCATATACAGGGTGTAATTTTTGGTGATTATTACTCTCTACTAAAAAATTACTGAATCCAACCCTGGAAATAGAAGAATGTTGATTATTGTTGAGCTGAAGAATTGAGAATGATATTATCCCTACTTTCATTCGTGAAATTCATGCGTTGCGAAGTATTAATTTTCAAATTAATACATTTATTGCCCAAGTTTCGTGTGTAGTTTAAATTAATAATTTTTTAAGAAATTCAATGAAATTGTGAGGAAAATTTGAAATACTCCATTTTAGTTGCCTGTTCATTAACTTCAGAAATTCATTATCACAGTTTACTAAAACCTCATACAGGGTGAAATTTTTTATATGGACCAAATTGGCAGAATTTCTCAAGACCGGTCCTGGATTTTCACGATTCTGAATACGTCAGTTGATTGCTGAGTGACAGCATGATAATTCATGGAAAAATGAAAGAAATCGAAAGAACTGTTGGAAAGTTATGATTGAAAGAAGTTTTTGCCATATCTCATTAATCACCCTATAGATTATTTTGAAAGAGGCGGAGACACTTTCTGATGGTCATTTGGTATTCCCCTCAGATGCCTCTATTCGTAGTAGGAGCATGTACAGTTCCTCATGACTCACCCTGTATATGGCTTCAGAAATAGACTGGTTCTGGATTAGATCTTTTTGAAATAATATATCTGTTCGTCTTTCCCATGAATTTTGCTATCAATTTCTTCGAACCCCAAGAAAGTTATCACCTAGTTGTATCTATCATTCTTACCAGAGTTCGACCATGCAACACATTCGGAATTCTTTGACAAGAATCATGGTTCTGGCAATATGCGAATGATATCCCCACTTAAAGAAGAAAACACCACCTTATGATTCGACTCCATTAGTTTTTTATTCATCCCATTTTGATTTGTTACCAATATCAGTATTTTAAACTCAGTTTTTTTTTATCGATTGGAGCGCACGAAAGGGAATCCCTATAATGTTCAAAGAACATCGTGCGTTCCTAGGGAGGATAGGGACAGGAGGTAGGTATTGGAATTTTTTTTGAATTTTTGGAGATTATATGTTGTTGGGAATACTTCCACAGGCAATGAATTCCAGAGCCTTGCCGTTCTATGGATGGAGGAGTCTTGATAGAGGGCTGTTCGACATCTTTCGAGGTCGACGACGAAAGGATGTGCTGACTGGGCTTGTCTAGTTCGTCTGATTGGTATTGCTAGTGAAGGGATGATTGCAGAGATTTCCGAAGAACATTTTCCGTGGAAGTATCGATAGAAAAGTGAAAGGTCGCCGACCTTTCTACGGTGTTCCAATGATGTCAAAGAGTGAGTGAGTGTGGCGTCACCCACCAGGCGAATGGCTCTTCTCTGGATGGAATCTAGGAGCATCAGCGTATGTTTTGGTGCTGAACCCCATATGTGGGAACAGTATTCTAGAACAGGTCGTATCTGCGCTTTGTAGATCATGAGAAGCTGTTGAGGTGTAAAGTAGCTTTTCGCACGGAACAAGAATCCGAGTTTTCGTGAAGCAGCTTTTGCGATGGATCTGACATGATTGCTCCTATTAGTAGTTCTTTTGATCAATTCCAAATTCTATCGCTTCCTCGTATTCCGGGGACCATCCTTTATACAGTAATATGACATCACTAATTTCCCAGCAAAATAACCAGAAATATTTGATCAAACAAAAGCCCTCTGTAAATTTCCCATTTGTGAAAATATCGAACTTGTCGATGATCAGTTTTTATTTCTTTCAATTCATTCCTAGATCGCTCATTTTCATTCATCAAGCTTTCTGCTCTGGAGATATCACGAACATTATTTTACTGATCATATTCATATTTATTTATATATGGCGATAAGCCTGTATTATAGTGATTACAGATATATTCAATAATATATAAACTCTTCTTCCAAGAAAACATTCATTCAAGTTGCCGATAATTAACCGTTTCGAATATGGAGCTGCGATTTATTTTGTGTATTCTAATAATTTTAGTGCTGCGTTCTTTCAGTTCCTACCCGCTCTTCGAGACCAGCACGTGTCACAATCGACATGGAAAGATTATATCTCCAGGGATATGTAAAAAACTCAACGATTGTCCAGTAGCTCTCGAGGCTGTCGTGAAAAATCGCAGACACTTCTTCAACCGCTGTGGCTTTACCAACGAGGACGTCGAACTAGTCTGCTGCCCGTCCATATCCACCCGATTCGCAGTGTCCGTCGAGAGAAAGTCCGAAATATTCTGCGAGCAGCACGTCGATAGATTAGAAGAAGAAGTGGAGGAAACCGTCACCGGTGGCATAGACGCCAATGAGAAGGAATTCCCACATATGGCAGCACTGGCATTCAACACGTCAGGCTACATCACCCACGATTGTGGAGGTACCTTGATCTCAGACCGCTTCGTTCTAACCGCAGCTCATTGCTTCGTGCTCGGCGTCAAACCACCATTCGGTGTTCGACTAGGGGTAACTGTGCTGAACGACACCGATCATGTGGATGTTGATATCAAAAACGTCACCTTACATCGCAAGTTCAATCCCCATGAAAAGCACGATGACATAGCCTTGATTGAGCTCAGCCGCAGCATTGAATTCTCTGATAGCATCCGTCCAGCGTGCCTCTATGCCAAGCCTGATGACCCACAGGGACTTGTTGTGACTGGTTGGGGTGAAACTTTGAGAGAAGAAACCAAAATTCTGCAGAAAGCTCCCCTCTCAGCTGTATCTAAGAAGGAATGTAACAGAATGATGCAAAAATCGAAGGATCGTTATAGCCTGAGGCCGACTCAGATATGTGCCATTGGGTCGGGTACAGATGCGTGCATTGGAGATTCTGGGGGGCCTTTGCAAGTGAGGAGGGAGAAGGGGGGCTATGCAGTAGTGGGGATCGTGAGTCACGGACCTCATGGGTGTGGGGGAGTGATTCCTGCTGTGTACACCAGGGTGTTTCCTTATCTGAAGTGGATCGAGAATGTTGTGTGGAAAGATGATATGGAAATGTGATGATTCGAATACATAACGCAAGTGGCACTGCAATGTACAGGTTGATTTTTTATGGCAAAAGTGAAGTATTTTCCATATTATTATATGTATTCAGAATCTAGTATGAGACAATAAAAAAAAGCATCATTTACCTGAAAATTCTGCACAAACTTCTATATACAGGGTGTTTCAAAAAAACCTAACCCCCTTGCTAGGGTAGGTAGAACATTGCAAAATAAGTTGGTTTTGCTCAGTAGAAAAATGTCGTAACGCCATCCGTTTTCAAGATACAAGGTGTTGAAACAATATTTTTTTTACACATTTTTCACGATTATGTTGAAACTACTGGCAACATTGTAATGAAATTTTGTATAGATATTTCTTGGAATCTGACACATCGCATGCATTTGTTTTTATATCTGACTATCATAGAGGGCGCTAGTTACACGGTTCGTATCGAGTAGTTTTGAACATAAGTTGTTTGAGGTTAGATTTTTCAATCCAAATTTGATGTGAACTTGAACATCATTCAATTTCACACCAAAAAGGTACTCTTGGTAAAACTCGATACTGTGTTCCGTTTTCGGAATATTTCGATTTGAAAATGATGAAGTGGTAACTGTTGCTGGTATAAAGCTATGTATTAGAGTGAGTATTATGAGAAATTATCACCTATTTATTGAAAACCGAAAACAACAATACATTTCTGATGCAAAACTCATTGATTTAACAATGAATCACAAGAATAACATCCAAACAGATTTGACTAAGAACATGGATTACACAGTTCTGATGTATCTTGAGCAGAAAGTCTATGCTACATAGGTAAATTCACGTCAAGAGTTGTGAGACATAATTGAACATCACTTAAATGACCTAACAGCTGATCCTCAACTGTTCAGACGAATAATTCATTCTTAAAAAAAGAATATAGAATCGTGTATTCCTCGAAACGTAGGACATTTTGAAGACTTACTCTAACTGATTCAATATTTCATGTTTCTAGTCAAATATCTCTTAATTTTCTACTTATGATTCTTCGTTCCATCAATAACTTCAGCACAAGAATAATTTTATTGTTTTAGAACCTGAATAAAAAAGTAATTGAACTCAATAAAATTCATTTTATACCAGCATCATTACTACTCCATTATTTTCAAATCGAAATATTCCGAAAATGGAACATAGTATCGAGTTTCACCAAGAGTACCTTTTTGGTGTAAAATTGAATGATGTTCAAGATCATATCATATTTGGATTGAAAAATCTAACTTCAAAAAAGTTATGTTCAAAACTACTCGGTACGAACCGTGTAACTAGCGCCCTCTATGAGAGTCAGATATAAAAACAAATTCATGCGATGTGTCAGATTCCGAGAAACATCCATACAAAATTTCATTACAATGGTGCCAGTAGTTTCGGAATAATCGTGAAAAATGTGTAAAAAAATAATTTTTTCAACACCTTGTATCATGAAAACGGATGCAGTTTCGACATTTTTTCACAGAACCAACCCGAGCACAAAGGTAATTTTTCAATATGTCACAGTGACTTCATTCCGATAGGAAATACATTATATTGTCTGATTTTTTACTTTAACATAATATTTTCATAATGAAGAGTGATTGAATTCTGGTGATTATTCAAACCAAAATTTTCGTATACCCATTTAATTCTATTGCTTTGTGATATCCTATTCAAAATTCTGAAACATTGGTACCTATACTATTACCCCATAAGTGAAATGAATAATCGATCAATAAAATCAATATTGAACTAGTCGATGTTTAATAATTGATAATTGAACCCAATGATCAGATTTTATTTCTTTCATTTCATTATTTCGATGAAGTTAGATCGCTCATTTTCCGAAGTGTCATCCATTAAGCTTTCTTCTTTGGAGATATCACGAACATTATTTGACTTTTATATTTATATCCATTTATTATTTATTTATACATGGCGATAAGCCTGTATTAGTGATTACAGATTCATTCAATAATATATAAACACATCTTCCAAGAAAACATTCATTCAAGTTGCAGATAATTAACCGTCTCGAATATGGAGCTGCGCTTCATTCTGTGTATTCTAATTATTTTGGTGCTGCGTTCTATCAGTTCCTACCCGCTCTTCGAGACCAGCACGTGTCACAATCGACATGGAAAGATTATATCTCAAGGGATATGTAAAAAACTCAACGATTGTCCAGTAGCTCTCGAGGCTGTCGTGAAAAATCACAAGCACAACTTCAAACGCTGTGGATTTACCAACGAGGACGTAGAACTAGTCTGCTGTCCATCGGTATCCAGCCGATTCACAGTGTCCGTCGAGAGAAAGTCCGAAAAATTCTGCAAGCAGCACGTCGATAGCTCAGTAGAAGAAGTGGAGGAAACTGTCACCGGTGGCACAGACGCCAATGAGAAGGAATTCCCACATATGGCAGCACTGATATTCAACAAGTCAGGCCAAATCACCTACAATTGTGGAGGTACCTTAATCTCAGACCGCTTCGTTCTAACCGCAGCCCATTGCTTCGTGCACGGCGAAACACCATTCGGTGTTCGACTAGGGGTAACTGTGCTGAACGACACCGATCATGTGGATGTTGATATCAAAAACTTCACCTTACATCCCAAGCACCATGCCACTAGGAAGCACGATGACATAGCGTTGATTGAGCTCAGCCGAAGTATTGAATTCTCCGATAGTATCCGTCCAGCGTGCCTCTATGCCAAGCCTGATGAGCCAGAGGGACTCGTTGTGACTGGTTGGGGTGAAACTTTTAGAGAAGAAACCAAAGTTCTGCAGAAAGCTCCCCTCTCAGCTGTATCAAAGGAGGATTGTGACAGATTGATCAAGCAAAGATTGCTGTACGCCATGAAGCCGTCTCAGATATGTGCCATTGGGTTTCGTAAAGATTCGTGCGAAGGAGATTCTGGAGGGCCTTTGCAAGTGAAGAGGGAGAAGGGGGGATATGCAGTGGTGGGGATCGTGAGTTACGGACCGAGTGGGTGTCAGGGGGTGATTGCTGCTGTGTATACCAGGGTGTATTCTTATCTGAAGTGGATAGAGGATATTGTATGGAAAGATGATATGGAAATGTGATGATTTGAATACATAACGCTAGTAGCACCGGAATGTGTAGGTTGATTTTTTTATATTTCACTGAATCACTATCTCAGTTAATATTGGTCTCACAAAAACATTGAAGAAGGTGAAAATGGAGTATAATTCATGGGTATTCAGAATCTGGTGTGAGAAAATTGAAAAAAAATCGTAAACCAGAGAATTTCACACAAACTGGTAGTTCTCAAACAGGACACCCTGTATTTTAGTCACTCAATCGGTGAAGCTCTTTCTTCTGATTAAGAATATGTATGGGTTGCGTGCAAGAACTGTCAGATGACCGACACTGGAGGCAAAATATTGAAACACAAACGTCACTCTACTTATTTGTTTACAAGCGATTGAAATAGTTTTTCACAATTATTTTGGCATACGAATCGTATTTTTCCGCTATTCATCAATTCGCTCATGCCATCACATTATGCTGTTGTGAAATGCACAAATACTGCAGCGGAAGACGAAGTAATCCGGTTGGTACAATATGATTCAAAAGTAAGTACCTACTATAGTAACTCACATGTAGTTTTCATTTTTGAAATTTGGTAATTTCTCTGATTTCTCATCGGAATTCTTTCTGCGATAGGAGCTAATAGAAATACATCTGAAATTTCTAAAATAATGCCAGAAAATTGGATTCATGCAATCAATCGGGAGGACTGGTCTGACATGCTGACGATCGTGTGTGTTGTAGACATTTTCAATCTATTAGCAGTATTAGCTTGTATGACAGGAGGCAGAAGGAATTTTAATTAGGAATGACATTTCATAATAATAACTATGTGAGATTACTATTTACCTGAGAAATCATATTCTTTAGTCTCTTGCTGCATTTTTTGTGCATTGTACAACAGCACAATGCGAAGGCATGCTCGAATTAATGAATAGCGCAAAAAACACGATTCGTATGCCAAAATATTGTGAAAAACTAGTTCAATCCTCTGATTCCTCTGTAACCAAGTAAAAAAGTGAGGTTGTGTTTCAATAATTCACAGAAGAATGAGGTTGTGTTTCAATATTTTGCCTCCAGGGTCGGTCATCGTGCACGCGACCTAATCAAAAACTGACAAACGATAACCTCAATGAAAAAAAACTCCCTCCCTGGAAGGTATTCGAAAAAAACCATATTTCTCTAACCCAGAAAAAATCGATACATGCAAACTTACCTCATTACAGAGTTGCCTAGTTTGGACGCATACGTAGATTATTTATACGACGAAAAAAATTAATACAAGCATACTCGCAATTCGTACCTCGTACCTCGCAGTACAAAGTTGCTCAGTGTATGCGTAGACGGCTCTGGCTTATACATGACTTTGGAAAAAACAATCGAAATTAGCTGATAGCACATTTCAATATTTCTCGTCGTATAAATCATTGTAGTCGTGAACAATTCTCAAGAAATATATGTTAATCGTTTTAGTGTTGACTGATGCCTTGAATTAATGAAATTCAAATTTTGTCGAAACCATGACAGTATAATCGAATTTTATCAAGAGTACCTTTCCTATTAAAACCCATTTCTTTCCATTGACGTAGAAGTATCAGAAGTTTATTTGCTAAAAAAATCAAGTTTCACTGTCATGGAATGATCGTTCATGGAATGATATTCATCGTAATCATAATATGGTTTTTATTGCCAAATTTCATTTAAATCTCATGGGCCGTTTCAGAGATATGAAGCAAAAACAATTCGAAAATTGTAACTTCAGAGCTGTCTAGCGTCCACAAAACTGAGTTTTCATAGAAACCTTCTAGCTGCACCCTGTATATATTTGAAATCAAAAGAAAGCGCTCTATCAATAATGTAAATGAAATATAGGGTGTACTATTTGAACAATACCAGTTCATGTAGATTTTTTATGTTTCACTATATGCTTTCCTGAATTTTCTATAGTGATTACAAGATTCTGAATGCCGATATGAATATACATCACTTCCGCCCATTTGAGCATTTCTGTATGACTAATAATAACTGAGATAGCTATTGAATAAAATATAACCAATCACCCCCTGGAGTGTATCTGTAGATCACTTCAATGTGACTTACTTTATGTTCCTTAGGTCTGCATGTTGTATATACAGGGTGTTCCGAAACTATTGTGCCAAAATTCAAGGGTTGGTAGATCTCGCCAAAACAAACGTTTTTCACTCATTAACCCATAGGCGCATGCGCATGCGTTCAGTGATAATAGCGCATTAAGGTCCGCGCAGTGGTATCCAACCTCGGACACGGGGAAACGTGTTTGTACCGGAAACCGTGTTAGTAAATAACATGAAATCACAAGCAATATATGGGAGAGTTTATAAAAAAAAACACTACAATTTAGATTGAGTTAGGTTTTACACATTGCCACGACGCAATAATAAATGAGAAGTCTACGCAATACGAGTGTCGGGAGCGCAGCGATTGGTCTCGATCGTCAAAATCGGTAGAGCTGAGCACTCAATATCGATATTATTTATTTATGTATGTACATACGTCAAAATCGGTAGAGCTGGACACTCAATATCGATATTATTTGAGTATGCACATATGTTAAACTTTTTTCTTGTGACACTTATTGGTACCGAAATAAGGTGCATGCGCCTATGGGTTGATAAGTAAAAAACGTTTGTTTTGGCGAGATCTACCCACCCTTACATTTTGGCACAATAGTTTCGGAACACCCTGTATAATATAAAGAGCTCAATTGTCAGCTGACAAAAAAGTTTTTTTCATGTAACAAAGTGTTCCATTCAAAATCAAAAATATTACAACTATATAATCCTGAGCTCAAATAATGGAGATTCAATTCAAATCACCTAGATGAAAATAAATGTGTCTTCGGACTGAGTTATACAGCGTATCATTTAAATATTCAAATATTAGCATGTTATCATGTTTCATTGCGTATACGTAAAGAAGTTTCATTTACGTGATGAATGCAATCCAATGACCCTAAATACCGACATAATTATTATTAAAAATTAAAGAATATCTGCTCAGTAAACTCTAATTCCATATCTACTAATAGTACTAATCTACTACTGCTACTAATAAATTAGGGTAAAATACGGATAGATGCCGCACTTTTTGTTAAAAAATATAAAAACTCGAGTAACAAAAAATATGTATTTCAAAAAACATACGATCATTCTTTCATCTATTTTTCATTGAAATATTGGTCCTAGAACAACATAAAAAACTCTACTACTAAAAAAAATAACGAAAAAAAAAGTGTTTTCTGGCAACTCTCCCCCCCAGGTACGGAGAGATGCCTACATCCATGCGGAGAGATGCCCAATGTTAATTCCCATAAGGGAGAGATGCCGCAATTTATTGTTGTAGTTCTGCAAGTTTGCATGGGTTGCATCTTATGCAGAATATCCAATCTACTGTCTTGGAGGTTTTACTGTGATCCTCAAAACATTCCACGCAGAAAAATTGTTTGTCAGTATCTCGCTTGGCTGATTCAGGATTTTGGTTTTCCTTCAAATCGGATAAGAGAATCTCATCTTCGCTGTCGGATGTGAAGTTATTCGATGTTCTATGATCGGTAAAATATAAAATTATGCTATTTTATTATTGAAACTTTTGTGGCATCTATCCGTATCAAAAAGTGCGGCATCTCTCCTTTTTGATACGGATAGATGCCTCACCAGCCTACGCCTGCGCCTTAGGACTGTGTAGCCGAGAAAACAAAACAAAATCTTAAATATGCCCTATATAACGCTATAAAAGTCAAATTATTCCATTTTGTTATTTTAAACTCACTTCCCCAATACTATTAACAACATACAAATAAATATTAAGCAATAAAAGTACATCTTAGCAACTTTATTCCCACAATTCAAGTAAAACACTTGCTCAATCGAAGCAACCACCGCATGCAAAACAATAATGGCCGAATAGCTCTTCCATCCCGCCGAGAGTTGTTGTCAGGTGTACATAGTTTTCGCGTCACGTGGTCTGCGGCATCTATCCCCCCGCGGCATCTATCCGTACTTTACCCTACTTGTAATGGATTATAATATTTTCTTTTTATATTTTATTATTTTTTTTTATTATGTTATATGTATGTTTTGTTGAACAATATATCCCTATTATACACAATAATATTCCTTGGGGTAATAAAGACAATCAATCAATCAATAACGCATGAGAATAGTGAATTCAGGTTGATTATAACAGAGGTGGCTTTATTTAGTGGTTAATAATATGACGAAAATTACCGTGGTAGTAAAAACACACTTTATGCCTTCAAAGGGAGTGAATGATGGAACGTTCTATAGCTAGTGGTGGAAAAACTATATATAACCTCATGAGTGAAATGAACATTCAAACATTGAAATCAATTCGAACCATTTTTTTTTAAGAGATAGGGTATTCTCGTATTATTATGGTCTTGAAATTCCCTTTTCATAACAACATCAATTTGATAAACTTATTTTCTCCATATATATCTTTCAGATAATCAGAGTTTTGAGATATTTTTCAAAAAAAGGGTAGAAAATTGTTGGGATTTTGAGCAAAAATATCGCTTCGCTCCGTCGCATCGTCGACTCTCTCCATAGATTGTTTGCTTATCGTTATGATACCTCAGTTATAATGATTCTAATTGCTAGTTGAATTTCAAGAACAAAAATATCTATTCTCATTTCCGATAGGATATTTTCCCTCCTCATTGTCCAGAATGGTTCTGAAAAGATGAAAATTCAAACTGTCTCCTGGTACGTATTCACAGTATCCTCTAGTACCTAATACATCGATTTCAAGTATGTATTTGACATTTGTCATAATTTACTGTCACGTTCCGATTCACACTATCGCCGAAGCATTCAAAATTACGAGTATTACAAGCCATATCGAACCCGATGGCTTCCAAATGCAAAAGCAAGATCTGCAACCCTCCCGAGCAAGAAATAAAGGTTACCCAAGGAACCCCAGAAGTCACCCAAGGAACCCCAGAAGTAACCCCAGAAATCGTAGCCGCTTGCCAGGAGCTCGTCCTCGACAATGACAAACTACAGACCTACATGACCACCTTCCTCGACAACATAGAACGAGGCCTCAAAAAGGAAACCCACGACGATGCTGTAGTAAAGTGTATCCCAACCTACGTCCAGGACCTACCCAACGGCACAGAAACCGGCAAGTTCCTAGCCCTAGATTTGGGCGGCAGCAACTTCAGAGTGCTCATCATCACTCTAGACGGCAAAGAATGCGACATGCAATCCAAAGTGTACTCCATATCACATGAAGTCATGCAAGGACCAGGAGAAGAGCTGTTCGATTTCATAGCTACTTGTCTAGCTGAGTATGCAGTGGAGCAAGGAGTCGCGGATGCTACACTGCCTCTGGGATTCACCTTCAGCTTCCCGCTGATTCAAAAAGGGCTCACGGTAGGCGTCCTGGAACGTTGGACCAAAGGATTTAGCTGCGAGGGAGTTATAGGTAACGACGTTGTTCAGATGCTGAAGGCAGCCATAGATAGAAGAGGTGACGTCAAAATCGATGTTTGCGCAGTGCTGAACGACACCACGGGCACCTTGATGTCCTGCGCTTGGAAGAACAACGACACCAGAATAGGTTTGATAGTTGGCACTGGCACCAACGGCTGCTACGTGGAAAAACAAGCAAACGTCGAGCTGTTCGACGAACCCGACAGGGGTTCTGGAAACGTCATAGTCAACTTAGAATGGGGTGCGTTTGGGGATGATGGCGGCCTGGATTTCTGCAGGGTACAGTACGACAGGGATGTAGACGCGAGATCTATCAACCCGGGGAAGCAACTGCACGAGAAGATGATTTCAGGGATGTACATGGGGGAAATGGTACGGCTAGCCGCGGAAAGGTTTACCA